TTTAGGTTCTAACCACGAAACGATAATATTAATCTATCGTTAGTCTATCGATATATTATTTTAGTTTATAATAAATCTAAGGAATTCTACTCTTTTTTAGTAAAATATATATTTCGAAGGTTTTACGTAAAGTCCTACTTCTCTTATTCTTTTAAGGATTTACTAGATATAATAAATATACGACTCGCGGTCCGATAAAAATATTAGAATATTATCTAAATATATAATATAGGAGATATTAAATAATCCCTATAAGGCGGTATAGATATAATTCTAAAAAGTAATAGGAGTATTAGTTAAGCTAAATAGTATAACTATATACTTAAAGTAACTATAATATATATAAAATATAGTCTTCTATTCTTTACCCTCTTAAATATAAATATAGTAATAGGCGTCCTAGATATCGATCTTACTAAAGTATTTTATTTCTAAAAGTCGATCTAAAATCTCCGAAATAAGAGATAAAAGATATTAATTCTTTACTATAATCTTATTAAGTCTCTAATAGTCTATATATAGACGTAATCCTCTATCTTTCTTTAGAATAAAAAGGATTAGTGCTTTAATAAGACTTTTTAAGGGTCTAATCCTTCTATTTATAAGATTTTTGTTAATATAGGTTCGTAATATTTATAATTCGCTTTATAATAAAGGATATATTAGTTTATAAGATAGGGAATAGTTATTTTCTAGCTTAATAGTATAATCCTATAAACTATTAGATAGAAGGATTTATAATCGCTCTATTAAGAAGATATTAATAAATTAACGTAGTTTTAAGAGGATTTCTGAAAGATAGATAGTTAGTTCTTCGTTTTCTTTATAAAGTAACTAGACTTCCTTCGGGAGTTTTACGATAATGTAGATAATAATATATTTTTGATATTCTTTCGTGAGTTCCTAAATTAGTACTAACTTAATTCTAATAGCTTTAAACTATTAACTTCGGTTTTATAGTAAAATATAGATACAATACTTAATAAGCGTTATTATTAAGAGTAAGATTAGACTTCTTTATTTATAAAGATCTTTATTAATTATAAGATAAAGATAAACTATTAATTTAGTAGTCCTTTAAGAGTTAGTAAGTATAATAAGTATCTTCTATATACTATATAAAAGGGTTTTTTAATTATCTATTATTCTAAGTAGTATTAACGATAGTTTTACTCTCTATAATTTATACTTTTCCGCGAATTCGATACTAATAATATTAATCTTAGCGTAGGTATCTATATCTATATATATTTTAACTTTATTCTATAGTAATACTAGAATATAAAGATAAGTCGTAGTTCCTATTTAGGGTAGTAGAGTTAGCCGCGTAGGAATTAGACTAACTTATTATTATTTTCCGACTCGATCCAAGTTATTACTTATATACTAGCTTTCTTATTTAATTTATTAGAGTAATAATTAGCGAGATAGGTTTTACTTTAATAAATATAATATTAAAAGGTTTTCTTATCTCTTCTAGTTAGGTTCCTTTCTTTTTTTAGGTCCTTTCTTTAGGTCCCTAAGTTTTACGGTTTAGTTAATACTAATTAGTCCGAAATTACTTATTTATAGGTCCCTTAAGGGTTTTAGGGCCTTTTCGTTTTTATATCGATTATAGTAATCCCTAGTAATATATAGCTAGGGATACTATCCTATCTCGGTTTTTAGATAACTTATATATATATTTCTATATATATCGCCTAAGGTTATAGGTGAATTTCGAGAATATCATAAATACCCTTTTTTTCTTATTTTAGTAAGGGAAGTATCGCTTTAATAAATCTAAAAATATATAAAACTCTCACGGATCCTACTCTAGACGCTAATAAGCTCTTTATAATTATCTTATAATATTAATTTTAAGAGTTATAGTATCTTTAATAAGAGAGAGAGTCTAATTCTTAAAATAAATCTATAAAATATTAATATTTCGCTATTTTTCCTTAGGTTTCTTAATAATATACCGGTACTATCTCTATTAATAGATAGATTCTATATATAATAAGGCTACAATAATTTACTATTCTTTGTAATAATACTTCTATAACGCTTTTTTAAAGATAAGAGAGAGATCTAAGAGTTATTCTTCTCTCTACTAAAAAGAGGAGTAGATTAAGAGTATTAAAATATTTCTAATCTAGATCTTATTTTTATCTTCTATAAGGGATAAACCCTAATTTCGTTATTAATTCACTAAAGATTTGGTAATATTCCTTTATTCGAGTTAACTTCTTATTTATCGGGCTATTTATTATAGCTCTTATAGATATTAAAGTTTTTCGATCGTTTCCTAGGTGGTTTATAGGTCTTTATCTAATTAAGTCTGATTAGTTTCGGATAGAGGGGTTTATAATATCTCTTCGGGAGTATTACTCTAGTATATTATAATAGATTAGGTCCGTAAGGTTATCCTATTTCTTTAGGTGATCGAAGAGGAAGATTTAGAATTATAAAGAATATATTTATTAGGGTATAAGGCCTATCGATTAGGTAAAGAAATAAAGGGAAAGAGTAAAAGAAAATAATATATCCTTATTACTATTAAGACTAAATCTTATCTTATTAGCTAGATACGGGAATATTAATTTATTATATAGTATCTTCGTAACTCCACGTATCATCAATAATATAAACGACTAGGTCTCTATTATATATTATGATTATTCTACTATAGAGTGGATCAAGCAACAAGTTCCGACTTCCTTCAGGATCATATAATATCACCTGATTCACCCCTTCCGTTAGTTAGGAATAACTTCATGCCTTGCCATCTTGGTAGACCCTTTATAGAAGGTTTATAAATATTTATTTAAGTAAGATAATACGGGGTATATCGAATTTTTTCTTTTCTCTTATCCTTAGTTAATTTAATTGGCTAATTTATATAATAAGGTATTTATCTTATCTATTTTTATATGATTTTATTGGCTAATATTTTAAGGTTTTTATTATAGATTATATATATAAGACTAATTAGTTTAGTATACCTATATTTTATATAGTAGGTATGACACTATTAAATTATATATTTACTATAGCTCTATATTTTATACTTAATAAGGTTAAAATAAGCTATACTTAGGTATTTTAGACCTTTTTTAATTAACTAAATCTCTTATCTAAATTTGATTTTCGTCCGATTTTAGTAACTAATCGCGAATTAGCTTTAATAAATATAATATATAGTATCTAGAGATATTATACCCTATATTTACTATATATTTAGTATATTAACAAAATAGTTTTGACAAGGGTAAAACGAGATATTAGCTAATTAGACAAAAATACTAATATATTATTAATATATTAAAGTACTCTATAATCCGAATTTATTTATTAATAAATTAGTAATATATTAAAAATATATTTATCTATTATTATTCCTAAGTTTTGTATTATCTAAATAATTTAAAATTTTTTTAGAAAATAGCTTATAGTGGTTTTATAGAAAAAGGTAATAGATATAAATATAATCTTTACAAAAAAAATATATAATAAAAATATAAAAAAGATCTTTTAGAATTATTTAATAATACTTTATTTTGTATCTAATTAACTATATCTTTTTTTAATCTTAAAGATGATTAAATACTTAAGATATTAAGTAGTATTAAGAGAACTCTTAATAAAAGTAGCTGTAATTTACTATTTATAAAGATAAGAAGAGTAATAGAGTAGTAAAAAAAGAATAATATATTAAATAAAAATATATTCTTAATATATTATTTTAATTATAGTATATAAAATTAAAAGTATTCGCTAGAATTAGTATTTAATCTAAATATGGCTTAAATTCTAAATATAGACCGAGGTAAAATCAAATGTTTATCGACCTACTTTTAAATGTTTATTTGACCTATAAGCTCCTGTAGGTTTTCCGCTATTAGTGCTGTATTTTCTTATATAATCTTTTTTCGACTTTGCCTCTAATCACATAATAGTTTTTATTATAGCTTAACCTACTATATAAAATAATTGAAGTCCTTATTTGCTAGATTAATATTAAATGTATATTTTTTAATATTTTTTAATATCTTTTAATATCTTTTAATATTTTTTTAAAATTATAATAATCTCTATTTTAGGTTCTAAAAGTGATAAAAATTTTGAATGCTAAAATAGTCACGTAAAGAGTTAAATACGTTTATGGTCTATCTCGACCCCTATAATTCAGTACTTATTCTAAGGTTATATATCTTATTTTGATACTTTATGGCCCTTTATTTACAATTTTCTTGTATATTATTTTAAAATCAAGTATAAATTATCTTGATATTAGCTACTATATAATTTTTATAGTAGTAAATTATCTTAATATACTTAAAAATATAGATGAAAGAATAAATCATATAAGCTAGAGTGATTATGTCAGATTTTGCAGTGCCAGTAGCGGAAAACCTGCAGTGCCCCTATCAATACCCACAAGCGCATCCCACTGAGTTTGCGCCCCACATCCTACTGAGCACTCAGGCGGATCCGCCGGACCTGCGTTCTGCCTTCGGCGCACCCCAATAGGCTGGGGGGTCTGGGGGGCGCCGTGCCCCCTAGTAGCTAGCTATATTATTATTAGCACAGTATAGGAGTCTATTCTACTTCTCTGTGCTGTAGCCCTCGATCTGCCATGCTTCCCGGAACGCACCTGCGAAAGCTGCCCACGCACGACCAGTTCCTCCTGCAGGAGATTCTTCCTTGCCCGCACCTACGAATAATAGAATTTCTATCTCCTCAGCCTCCACTGGCGGTCCCTGGAACGAGACTGGTCCACATAAATCTTATATCTTTCTCATCCCGGAATCCTGCCGTGATTCAGTAGTTTTTCGCCCCATCGTCTTCGTGCACAGGTGAAGCCTCGTAGGTTTGTAGATCATCACCGGATTGTTGGCTTATGCCGGATGAAGTGTACCAAATTTCAAATGGGGGCGAGATGGCATTGCAGTCCTATATCTCTTCATTTCTCCTCGAGAGAAACCCAAGGATATCCGGCCAGATAGCATCCCATAATGACCAGTTGCCTCCACCGCAAACAATCGGCACTTTTCCAGCCCCTAGCAATCGCGAATGGCAAGCATATCCTGCGCCATCGTATCATCCATGCGCCGTTGACCCGGAACCGCGGAGTCCCGTTGAATCCCACCAGTACCCCAGATGAACCGAATCGGATATGGATCCCTGGAGACCTCGTCGTGCAATATTATGCTCAGCGGGCCACCGAGGGAGGGCTAATCATCTCTGAGGGCATTCCTCCGTCGCTTGAGGTATTTCACTGGATGACCCAACTTTCCTCTGTGTCTCACACGTTTTCGTTTCATGACAGAGCAATGGCATGCCTGGCGTACCGGGACTCTTCACCCCTGAACAAGCAGCGGGCTGGAAAAATGTCGTCGACGCCGTGCATGCAAAAGGTGGGTACATATATTGCCAGCTGTGGCACGCCGGCCGCGCCACCATCCCCCAGATGACCGGATCCCCTGCGGTTTGTCCGTCCGCGAGTATCTGGGACTCGCCAACCGAATGCTACTCGCATCCCCCCAACGGCTCTATACAGCCCGTCCCTTACGCGAAGCATCCGCCGATCGAGATGTCCGTGTCGCACATCCAACAAACCATCTGGGACTACTGCAGCGCGGCTAAGACAGCAATCGACATCGGGTTCGATGGCGTGGAGATTCATGCGGGCAATGGGTATCTCCCGGAGCAGTTCCTGTGCTCCAACGTTAACAGGCGCGACGATGCCTACGGCGGCACCCCTAAGAAACGCTGCCAGTTTGTGTTTGAACTGATGGCAGCGGTGGCCCAGGTCGTCAGCGAGAATAATCTCGCCATCCGACTATCGCCGTTTGGTCTATTCAACCAGAGTCGTGGCGAGCAGCGGCTAGAGACTTGGACATATCTCTGCCAGGGCCTAAAGAAGGCCCACCCTACTTTATCATACGTCAGCTTTATCGAGCCGGTTAGTTATCGCTGTCTACACATGGAAGAATTCATTGCTGCTGGCTAATCCCTATCCACAGCGCTACGAACAAGTCTTCAGCTATGAAGAGAAAGATGAGTTCCTCCGGAACTGGGGTCTGCAGGGTGTCACCCTCGACCGGTTCCGCCAGATCTTTGGAGCAACTCCTTTCTTCTCGGCCGGGGGCTGGGATGACCAGAACTCCTGGGGCGTGGTGGAGTCTGGCAAATATGACGGGCTCTTGTACGGACGGCATTTCATTAGCAACCCAGACCTAGTACACCGGCTGAAGGAGGGGTTGCCGTTGTCCCCGTATGACCGGTCTCGGTTTTATGGGCCCTTCGAGGACAACGCCTTCCGGTACACTGATTATTGCACAGCAGAGAAGCTGGGACAATAGATGCTGGAATATATAAGAGCGGCTAGAACGCTAGGGATACTGTATATAATATAAGGGACTCAACCTTAATATAGGAAACTTCCTATTGACTACCAGAGGCCACACAAGCGCGACCAAATTTATTACAGAAATCGTGCTAGGTCCATCTGCAAACACTATCTAAGCCTACGCAAGATAGAGTGTATTCGACTATGGAATTGAATTCGATTCGAAAAAAATTGCTCAACCATAAACCCTAAATCCATGAGAACAACACCAATCTGACCAATCCACCGGACACCTCCGGGAAGATGGTCCCATATGTACAGTGACCTAAACCAGAGTATACAAACAGGAACACAGCAAGGATTGAATTGCATTCAGCGAGCAAGCGAGCTTCTCGCTGGCGGCTTGAAAGCATGGCTCTTCTGCCGCACGGCCTACAAACGGAATCGGCGCTGGCGCTTCGTATCGTTATCTTCTTCCTCGTTTTGCAGACCACCACTCGACCGGGTGCCAGGGAACAGACCCTGCCCGGTTTACCTTGGTGGGTTGGACTGCTGCACCAGCTTGGCACGGTTGGAGAGGAAGAATAGAGTGGCAGGGGACATATCAATGTAGTCGAGATTGGCGAAATTGTAACCCGGGGTGGCAGGGACGTGGTAGCGGCCGGAAGTAGACTGCTGAATAGGTATGGACGGCTATTTGGGCCTGGGAGTTGGGGGTGTTATTTTGCAGAAACCCTCGACGGCGCCCCGGTCTGCGCCAGAGCGGTGTCCACTGGCGGATGGAGTGGAGGGCTGGAGAACCCGCAAGAGAGTGCCGTTAACATTGCTTAGAGCAGGGGGCTCCATGCTCTTGTGGAGCTTGGCGCCTCCTCATAGGATTATAGAGCTGTCGACCAGGTAAGGGGTCTCATCGAGCCACTTGCTTTCTCTTTCGCAACTATAGATCACAATAAGTAAGGGCAGGGAAGACGTTAAGGAGATAACTTACTGAAGAACCTAACCGACCCCAACACACTTCACCAGACCTGCCGCCTACTTGACCTTCTCCAGAGTCCGTAGGCCACCATCCTTGTATACAACATGAGTGATTCCCACTCTGTGATCCCTTGGCTCTTCCTTATCTATAGGCGAAAGACTGGAAGGGGGGTTCCACGACCAGGACTTGACCCACCGAGCCCCCATCTGCTGCAGGAGCTCCACGAAGATGCCAGAGGCATCTTCTCCCTCGGTAGTATGGACATCCACATGCACGACAGCACCACCCAGAACTTGCTGAGTAGCAAAAACCTTTCGAGCGGACTTGGTGGGGCTGCTTGCTGTAGAGGGAGCTCTAGGGGGAGCTATCACTGGCGTTTCCCACTTCTACGTCTGGGAGTACTGGGACGACGCTTCGGACTCGGGCTTCTCTCGACCCGTGCCGACTTCCGGGGTGGAGAGAGCACAGGGGCGTTGTCATTGTCGGGAACAAAAATAAACCCGCGTACGCGTGGAGAGGACCGAGTCGAGCACTTGCTGCTAGAGCTGACTTTATTGAGATCCATGCTGCTTATGGCTACCTACTCTCTTCGTTCTTAAGCCTATCCTCCAACAAACGCACTGATTCTTACGGTGGGAGCTTCGAGAACCGTATCCATCTTTCTCTTAAGGTTACCCAGTTAACGCGGGATACCGTCGGATCTAGAATGCCCGTTTTTCTCCGTGCCTCTGCCTCCGATTAGTTTGAGAAGAGCTGCCCTGAGGAACAAGGATAGAAGCTTGAGAATACAGTTGACTTTGCTCATGCTTTAGCGGAGCAGGGTTGTGTTGATCTTATTGATATTTCTAGTGGTGGAGTTCACGCTACACGAAAGGTTACATCTGGCCCGGCTTCCTAGGCACCCTTTGCTGCTGCTGTGAAGAAGGCTGTCGGTAACCGTCTACTCGTGGCCGCTGTTGGTATGATCAACCATGGCGATGTGGCTGAGAATATTTTGCAAGACGAGAATCTGGATCTCATTCTCGTTGGCCGTGCCTTCCAGAGGGATACTAGTTTGGCATGGGCTTTTGCAAAGGATCTGGATGTTGAAATTGCTATGGCGGCGCAGATCCGTTGGGGTTTCACCAGCTTCCGCAACGCCTCAGATTACATTCAGCCGAATTCCATGAAGGCATCGATCTTCGATTAAAGAGATTCAGGTGGACTTTATGTCAATGTTAATCTCGCATATGGAATTTCTTTTTACATAGATCTTATAGACCTTCTACAGTTTGTATTTATTATCTCGATCTCCGATTCCAGTTGCTTCATTCAGTAAGTAGAATTATGTATCTGCGGGAAAAGTTCCTTCACCCCAACATTATATCAATATTCTTTCGTCTCAAAAAGAGATAAACCCTAAAATCTAGCCTAGAGAATATTACATGACAGCTTACCGAACGGAGTGCACTGTGACCACTTCCGCATGACCCCATGCCGATGTCGGGTTAAACCAGCCGTGTATGAGTGACAGTAGCGCCAATTCGAAAAAAAAGCACTATTCTGTAATCTATTGCCTGAATTGAATTACTCTTTATGATATCGCGAAATTAACCTACAACAACCGTAACATGAATTATGGCGGTAAGTAATCAGTCACGACGTGATATCTGTTTTCTGTCGTTATTCGGTAAACAATATTTTCCATGCTCTCCCCTCTGGGTATTGATAGGGACACTACATGTTTTTCGCTATTGGCACTACAAATCTGACATAATCACCTAGCTTATATAAGCTGATTTTTTATCTACACTTTTAAGTATATTAAGAAGATTTATTATTATAAAAATTGTAGAGTCAGAATTATTAAGATAATTTATACTTTACTTTCTAATAAGATATAAGAAAATTCGAGATAAGGGCTGTAAAATATTGAATTAAGGTATATAATATATGCTGGATTCAGGGGTCGAGATAGACTATAAACGTACTTCCTTAGTCATATGACTATTTTCGCACTTAATTCTTTTTTATCCCTTTTGGAGCTAAAAATAGAGATGATTATAGTTTAAAAAATATTAAAAATATTAAATAAATAAATATATATCTATATATATTATATTAATCTACTAAATCAAGGCTTTAATTACTTGAAATAGTTATAAGTAAAAAATATTATGTGATTAGAAATAAATCAAGAAAATATTACATAAGTCAAAATAGTTATTACATAAGAAAATGTAGTGCCAATAGCGAAAATCCTGTAGTGCCCCTATCAATACCCTTAACCATACTTCTAGTCATATAATATTTTTATTATATACTTTATCTATGATATGAGTCTTAAATTTCTATAAGGGTAATTATTATAAGAATTTGATTCTTTTTATCCTTTTTTTAAAAAATATTAAAAATATTATAATCCTCTATTTCTTAATTATAGTAGCGATATAGTCTTCACAATACGAAAAGCTAGGAAGTTATATAATTTAGGAAGTACGTTAGGAGTTTACCTTAATTCTTATAATAAAGCCTATACTATAAGTCTTATAAATTACTATCTAGTCCTCTATATATAATCTTTTTATAATTTATTAGAAAAGAAAGATTAAAGTATCTATAGATTATATAATATAGTAAAATTCTTTTTATAATCAACCCTTAAATATAATTAATAGTAAAGATAAAAAATATAATTATCTAAGTTAGTTAATTATATAAGATTTCAGAGTGCTAAAAATAGAAAAACAGATATTTCCCTATTAATGCCTAGGGCACCTAGTGTTACGCGTAGATAACTAGTCACTGTGAGTTAGTCCTTAGAGGTGACACTTCCCTTAGTAACTACGAGCCTTAAGCCTGTCCTTAATTGTACTAATACCACGCCCGGCCTTATATAGATAGATCCTATTAGGTACTTACGAAGGTATACTAGTTAAGTATACGCCGAATAGGTTAGTACCGAAGTAGTGTTACGGACCCTACAGACACTAGTTATCTAAGGACCCTGTAACTTAACGATGGGCCTCCGAGAGCCAATAAACCGATCAGTAAGCGCGAGCCTAAGCGATAGCGGAAACTAACGGTAGAATATATATCTTAGGGAAAATCTACTATATATATATTTATATATACCGGATTTCCTCTAGTACTACTTTATTATATGATTTAATAGAATAGGCGATCTAATAGAGTAGATTAGAGAATCTCTCTTAGTAGATTAAGTAATCTATATAGATAGATTAGGGAATTAGAAGGACTAGATATATAAAAATATTCCTTCGTATATATATCTAGTTCTTTATAATTAATTATATATTATTACTTAGATACTATCTTTAGTTTTATTTATAGTTTATCTTCGTAATAACTATCCTATAAATAAAGGAGCTATTTCGGTACTAACTTATTTAGTATATATTTAATTAATATATCTTCGTAAATATCTAATAGGATCTATCTATACAAAGCCTAATATAGTATTAGTATAATTAAAGATAGATTTAACGCTTATAGTTACTAAAAAAAGTATTATCTTTAAAAACTAACTTACTGTAACTAGTTAGATATATATAATATATTAATTACTCTATTACTAAACTATAAATATATAAATATTATAATATCTAGCGATAGTAATAATAATCTTTTATAGAGTAATCGATCTTTTTTAACTAACCTAATTACTAATATATAATTTATAAAGATAATTAGCTAATTTTAAGAATAGCTTATAATAGAATAATAGAGAAAAATAGCTTTTCTAATTAAACTACCTAAACCTAACTTCTTCGATAGAACTCAATCTAAGCTTCGAGGATTCTTAATATAAATAGATATATAGCTATATTTTATTAATTATATAAAAGAAGCTAATAAAGTAATTTACGCCTCTATCTATCTATATAAATAGGTATTTAACTAGTTTAAATCCTATATCCGAGAATTTAATAAAAAGAATAAAAAAGATTAGAGAGATATTACTAAAAAGATCTTTATCTCTTATAAAATCTTTAAGAAGAAACTTAAATAGATATTTAGAGATATTAATATAATATAAATAGCTAAATAATAACTAGATCGATTATAATAAACTAAATCTACTAATATATATATAGTAGAGTTCTAATAGATTATCTTATACCTTAACTTCGATAAAGATACCTATATTTAGATCTTTAAATAAGGATTTAAAAAAGAAGTAAAAAATAAATTAATAAGAATAATTAATATTATAATTAAGTTTAATAATAGATTATACGAACAAAAACTATAGCGATAAGAAATATAATAAGATAGATAGGGATTCTTAATAGGATTCTATTAATAAAAAAAACAAACGAACTAGATAACTACTAAAAGAATAATATAAAGATCTCTATAATCTATAATTAATAGAATTTAATATAGTAAAACTTCTTAAAAAAGAGTAATATTAATAAAAAAAAAATAATCTATATTTTAAATATAGGAAGCTAGTGTGATATCACTGCTATATATGTCCACTATAATATTCTGCTGACTAGTCAGCAGAATTGTTGGACTTTTAGTCTATGTGGTTATGCACAGATGGTGGCCTATGATACTATATTATTCTGCTGACTAACTAGGGATTACGAGGTTACGCGTTCGAATTAGACATGGATAGACCTGTCCCATGGGTCAAAGATCTTGATCTATGACCTAAACCTATAATCTATAGGTCGGGTTAATAAAATCCTGATCTACTTATAGGTTAACCCGCGGATTAACGGGTTAACCTATTTTTAACCTATTTTAGTATAAATTTCTTAATTATATAAAAGAATTATTTTAAATATTTTTTCTGGATTTATATAAAATAATAATATTAGCTAGTTAGATTAAAATTTTTTAGGGATAAAAAGAAAAATCTTAGGGTATTACTCTTATCTAATTATTTAGATTAACGGGTTAACCTATAGATTAATTTATTAATCTATTTCTTACTATCTAATAAACTTTATATATATTAATAGAGCCTATTCTAATTAGTTATAAAATTTAGTACTAGGATAGTACCGAATCCTATTTATTAATAAGAAATAAGTATTAGATCTATATATTTCTCTAAATCTACGATGATTTATCTTAGATTATTTTTCTATATCTCGAGTCTCTCGCTATAAAAAGGTTATATAGTCCCTCTTTTACTAGATATAATAAAATATATATCTTTTTATAGTAGTCTTTCTACCTTTATTAGAACTAGGGTTTTAATCTATCTACGCGTTTATTTATAGCCCTAATTCTAATATACCTTCGTAAAAAGGTTAACTAGTTAAATTAAAATTTTTAGGGGATAAAAAGAAAAGTCTTAGGGTATTACTCTTATCTAATTATTTAAGTTAATAGGTTAATCTATAGGTTAATATATTAATCTATTTCTTATTATCTAATAAGCTTTATATATATTAGTAGAGTTTATTCTAATTAGTTATAAAATTTAGTACTAAGATAGTACCGAATCCTATCTATTAATAAAAAATAAGTATTAGATCTATATATTCCCCTAAATCTATAATAATTTATCTTAGATTATTTTTCTATATCTTAAGTCTTTTATTTTAATATACTATTACTATATCTTTTCTATATCTTAATTATATATCTTGTACCCTTCCTTTTTTATTAAAAGTAAGGGGTTTAAGTTATCTATTTTCTATTCTAATTAATTTCTCGATACCCTTTTAGAACTATTAAAAAGCTAGTAAACTAAATAAAGCCTCCTTTCTATTATACTATTAATACTAAAATAATCTAATAATTAGAAAAAGATCTAGATAATTTTTAATAGTATAAATAAAACAGAATTTTTAAACTAGTAGCTTAATACCTAAATTAGTAGTTTTTATAATACTATAAAAAAGATAAACTAAAAAGGTCTATAATAGACTAATATATAGTTATATTTTAATTAAATTATATATTTAGTAATAGAAGAGCTAAAGCTTCTATATAAATAATATAGTAAGATTATAGACTATCTAGTTTATACTAAAAATAGGATAATAGATCTCTAATATTACTAGAATTAGAGTATATACTAAAAAGACTAAAATATTACTAAATATTTAATAATCTAATATTTTATAGAATATATAATATATTATATAGCTATTATTTAATTTATAAACTAATCTTTCTTAGACTAAAAACTTCTTTTAAATAGCCTAGCTAGTTATCTAAGAGTTATAGAAATAATAATTAATTACTATAATAACTACTTTATAGCTTTTTTTTAAACTATTAAATATCCTAAATTTTAAGCCTTTTTTTAAATAATTTAATTATTATTATTTATCCCTAGTTTCCCTTTTTATTAAACTATATAGTATCGAATCTAGGGAATAATCTAAGATTAATAAAAAGATTTATTTTAGAAGCTTCTATCTAAAACTAAACTCTCTATTAATCTTAATTATTAGATATTACTATTTTAATAAGTATTTATAGCTATCTTTAGTTATTTTATTAATATAGACTAAAATTATTAAAAGGTTTTATTTAGCTTTAAACCTATTTCTAGTATATACTTTAGATAGAATCTTAATATAACCCTTCTTAATATCCTCTAGAAATATTAGATCTAAGACTAAATATTTATAATAATAACTAATAATATATTAAATAACTCTATCTTTATTTTAAGTATCTAAGATTCTATTTAATTATTAGATATTAACTCTAAGATAATAATTATATAGGTTCTATATATTATATATATAATTTAGTTAAGTTTAAAGTAACTATTTAGCTAGATAAAAATAAATCCTTAGAATAAGATAACTAAGACTATTTATTCTAAAGAATATACCTAATATATCTATTAAAAAGTATAAAAATAAGATATTATAATAACTCTTATAAAGGTATATATCTATACTCTTTATATATTAATTAAAATATTAACCTATTTTATATTTTAGATTAGAAACCTTATAATCTTTATTAATATAAGCCTTTAATATTAGGAGTTCTTTCTTAGTCTCTAGCCTAACTACCCTTGATTAGTTTTAATTTAAGATATCTAAACTAGATAGAATTTAACCTTTTTAATACTCTAATATATAAAATAATTATAATTAATCTTTAATCGATTTTACTCTAAATATAATTATCTTTATCTTAAAATTAATATAGATAAATAATACTAGATTAACTATCTTTTTAATATTATTTAGCTATTTTTCTAATTTACTATAGTTCTCTTAAAAATAAAGGATATTACTATTTATACTATCTTTATTATCTATAATAAATTATTTAATTATTTTAAGAGATTAATTAAATAATTTAGTAAAAAAAAGATTAGATAGAAATAATAGATATATTAAATCTTTAAATTAGCTAAAGATAAACTCTATAAGTATTATTTTATAATAAATAATAAAAAGCTTAGTAATATCTATATAATTAATATTATTTTAGCCTTTTAGTATAAGATTAAATTTTTTTAAACTAAAGACTAAGACTATCTTTAGATAGATTATAATATCTAATATTAATAAAATCTTAAAAATTAGCTTCTATATTACTAAGCTAATAATATTCTAAACTCTTAATTACTATCTAAAATAAAATAGTTTTATTAAACTAATAAATTTAATATATTTTTAATAGCTGATTATTCTATCTTAAGCTTTTAATATAAGATAATATAATATATTAAAAAAGATAAGTTTTTATATATATCTTTATTAAAACTAAGGTTCTAAATAATTACTTAAAACCCTAGTTCTAATCTATTAAATTTCTATTTTTCTATTTTTATTAGAACTAGGGTTTTAAGGCCTATCTTAGAACCCTAGTTTTAATAAGAGTATTATTTTTAATCTATCTAAATATTATATTAATTATTATAATCTATTTTTTATCTAGATACTATTCTAATCCTATTTTATTAGTTCTAAAAAGATTATTAGTATAAATTTCCTATATTTATAAGCCTTATCTATAATCTTCTCTTAATCCTAGCTATTAATATTAATATTAAGTAATTATTTAATTCTATATATAATATTTATTATTATTAATAAAAGATACTAAATATATTTATTATATAAGATCTAATAATATTTATATATATTACTAAATTTAAAATTAAAAAGAAGTAACTTATATTTATTTAAGAGCTTTAGGAGTAGAATAAGTTAGAAATTATATAAAAAGAAAAAGAGACCTAAAAGACTTATAAAGAGATTATACTAATTAGTAATAATAAAAAAAAGGATACTATAGATCTAATAATTATAATTAATATATCTTACTAATTATAATAAGAAAAGCTAAGAAATAATTATAAAGATAATTATAGCCTCTTATAGATTTTTAGTAAGGTTTATAAATATCTATAAATATTTAATAATTATAAGCTTTAAAATTAAAATTGATTAATATTTAAAATAATATTCTCTAAAATTATTTTTTAAGAATTATTCTCCTAATTACTATAAAAAATTATTTAACTAAAATAAATATAATATCTAAAAATATAGCTAAGAATAATATAATTTATAAAAGTTATATAGTTAATAAAGTATCTACCTAAATAGATTAAATAGGTTAACCTATTAACCCGCGGGATAGATCAAAAAAATCTTGATCTACCCACAGGTTAAGAGGTCTAACCCACAACCCGCCCATAGGCTGACCCACAGGTCGACCTATATAGGTTGTCCGTGGGTCTGTCTAGGTCTATTCAGGATAGCATAAATTAGCGAGTTTTATGCTAGTGGGGATATTTATACGATATTGTTGGATATCGTCCGATGTCGGTTGGATATCGTACATATGACATCGATATCGAAAAAAATAATAATATCGTATCGGTTGCCGACTACGATATTGAAAAAATGTCGATGTCGTACGACCTGCCGCAGCCTAGCCCAGACAAATACCAAGGGTTCAACCCGTTACAGTAGAGCAGCCAGCGGAGCAGCCAGAAACGACGCAATTGCTACCTTATCGGGCGCCACCGCAATACACTGATTGCTTCGAAGTGGGGCATAGGAGAACGCAGTGTAAAAAACGCACTGAATAGCCTATTTTGTATTTAAATTGGCATTTTAGAGAAAATAAATCAGAATTGTATGGGTTTGGTGTGGTGATCGGCTGGTTTACATGATCAGCTCGCTTACGGGTTACGTTAGTGGTCGCTTCGATGTCTAGTCAACGTGTAGTCAATATCCGCCCTGGTCTAAATCTACATACATGTATGTACGCTCCCTTTCAAGTGGGTCAGATGAGTGGGTCACATGGTTGGCTAGCGCTGTAAGCGTCTTAGTTCCCGTTCCACGTGACCCAGACAATATAGAAAGAGGAAGGCATGACAGAGGTTCGCACTTCCTCCATATCTCCCCAACCCTTCCAAGTCCCTACACCATTTCTTTCCCATCATCCTTTTTGTCCTCTCACGATGTCCTCGTACCAGCCCACCTCCAAACCGTCTTCGCGACGCCAAGTCAACAGCTCAGAATCGAGCGAGGCCTCACAGGCATCATCTTCACAGTATAGCTGGGGCTCCAGCACCGGTTCCTCTAACCTCTCCCCTGGAGACGCTCTCTCCGAGTCGGTGGACCCCACTATCCACCCTACCACCCTCATACACGCCCATCGGCTGGACGCGCCAGCCAAGTTGGAGGATTTGGCCCAGAAGATCTCGCTGATCAAGGAACTGCTCGATCAACGGCTCCCCCCACTCTCCACTCCAGTCAGCCAGTACCTGCTTGTGGTCCACATCCCCAAGCCTCTGTTTTCAGATATTGAGAGCCAGCCGAATATCTTCAAAGGTGTCCGTGCGACCCTTTTCCCCAACCGCCATCAAGTTCTGTATAAGATCATGCCCGACGAACAACACGACCAAATCATTGCGTTTTTTCACGACGGTCTTGGCAAGAAGCTTGGAGACATGGGGTTGAGCTCATTCGGTGGGGATTTTTTGTTCCGCAATTCCACACGAACCCGTGGCCTTTCTAATAGCAAGGAGCCAGACCTCTGGTTTGGACCATACAATGTCAATGTGAATGGGGGTGGTCGGGGAAGATATCCATCACTTGTCCTTGAAGTGGGGTTCTCGGAATCGAGCTCCCAGCTCCGCAACGATGCCCATTGGTGGTTCACCAACTCCAGTGAGCAAACCCGGTTGGTTGTCCTAATCCATGCCAACAGGGGCAGCTCCAGTGGGGACAACTCGAGTCCCTGGGCTGTGGATATTGAGGTCTGGACTGAGGTTCCGAATCCCAGCAGTCACCAAACCCGCGACCGCCCTACAAACTCCCTCAAGTGCACCCAAAGTGCACGGGTTAAGGATGGCAGTGTGACTGGCGCCCCCTTGATCCTTGATTTTGAGACATTGATGCGCCGCCCTCCAGTCAACCCTCTAGAGGGCAACGTGGTCCTGGACGCAGGGTGGATTCGGATAGTCTGTGCTGAGGTAGGGCCTTAAGGGCTCTGCTGTCTCTCTCATCTTGCTGTCGTGCTGGTCGCTCTCCTTTGTCTTAACTCTTGCTTCTTGCTTGTTCAGGTCCAGTAACAGGAGGTAATAAAAGGGATTCCTTCTTTGATAGAATCGCCCTTTTCTTTTCTATTAACATTGAAATTCCAGTACCAAGACCTCGAATACTGACTTTATGGCCAAACCAGTTCATGACTGGTTTCACGTAGTATCCCTCGAAAGACCCCAGAATCTAAATGTACATAATCGTCAGACATGCTCTCTTCTATTACCTAGGTAGGCATTATACTTACCTTCTTCTAGTGTCATGGCAGGAGGGGTTGAACTTAATGTTCACTTGGTGGCCGTAGTGCTTACGAGCCACACAGGACTCGACGAAACCCTGCGGCCCTGAAGGGCGGTAGCTTGCTAGCCCTTTGGTTGACCCCCCTCGTAAAACTATAGTCCAGCCATGCATAGGGCAGATGAGCTGGATTTCTTTGGCAAGATAGGCCCGAAGAAAGCTTCTAAGGCATTGTTATGCGATAACAATGCAGTGCGCTACTATATAATATAGTGGTCTTTTTGACCTAAGTGTATGATCATGTGGCCCAGGCATGTATCGTAACAGGCATGCATTTTGCCTAAACCCACCTTATAAGAAAGATAGCGGTGACCGTCTTCTTAGAGACGCGAATCTACTCCGAGATTAACCGCTGTATCTCCTATATAAATAGTATAAAGGGCTATATCATAAATTCGGTGTTTAAATGAATATATCTGTAAAGAATATACTTGGCAGGGTATAAAACCTATCGATCAGGTAAAGAAAATAAGGGAAAAGGATAACAGGAGAGAAATAGTATATCTTCGTTGCTATTAAGACTAAATCTTGTTTTGCTAGCTGGATACAAGAGTATCAATTTATCGTATAATATCTTTATAGCTCTACTTATTATTGATAATGTAAACGACTAGGTCTCTGCTAAGTATCGTGATCATTCCACTGTAGGGTAGATTAAGTAACAAGATTCGACTTCCATATCTTTCTTAAGATCATGTGATATTACCTAATCCACCCTTTCCTTTATGCCTCACCGCGATAGCCCACGTAAAATATTAGAGTGATATCCTAAAGGCTTCCTTCCTATATATTATACCTTTACTCTATAGAGAATCAATCCCAGTAGTATGCCTAGGTTACTTACCCAGTACTAGAGGTTCAACCCCCTTATTAGGTATAGCGTAATTCACTTGGTAAGGCTCCACTAACGTAGGGTTTTTTAATCTAATATATTATCCCAGCTCCGATCGTTCGCTTAGGGAACCCTACTAAATCATTAAGTCTATAGGGGCGGTACGCAGCTATATTAGAACCGGGGGTTTAAGGTAAGGCTCTACTAACATAGGGTTTCTTTAATCCAATATATTATCCTAGCTCCGGTCGTTCGCTTAGGGAACCCTACTAAATCACTAAATCTATAGGGGCGGTATATAGCTATATTAGAACCGGGGGTTTAAGGTAAGGCTCTACTAACATAGGGTTTCTTTAATCCAATATATTATCCCAGCTCCGATCGTTCGCTTAGGGAACCCTACCAAATCACTAAGTCTATAGGGGCGGTACGCAGCTATATTAGAACCGGGGTTCTAAGGTGGCCTTAAACCCCCAGTTCTAATATAGCTGCATATGTATATAGCCATACACACATACCTTAAAACCCCGGTTTTAAGGAGTGTGCGGCCTGTGCGCAGGGGCCTTTACTATATAGGGGGTGTGGAGCATACTAGACATGGACAGACCTAGACCTGGACAGACCCGCGGACAACCTATATAGGTCGACCTGTGGGTCAGCCTATGGGCGGGTCGTGGGTCAGACCTCTTAACCTGTGGGCGGGTTAAGATTTTTTTAACCTGTCCCGCGGGTTAATAGGTTAACCTATTTAGACATGGACAGACCCGTCCCATGGGTCAAAGATCTTGACCCATGACCCAAACCCACGACCCATGGGTCGGGTCAATAAAATCCTGACCCGCCCATGGGTTGACCCGTGGGTTAACGGGTCAACCCATTTTTGACCTATTTTAGCATAAATTTCTTAATTAGGATGGATAATTTACTTACCTTTTTTAATAATACACTATTGTTAAATACTGTTTTTGTTCTAATATAACTTATAATTCTAACTCTTTATAAAAAGAATATTATATAGTAATAATATATTTAGAATATATAATATATTAATTTATTAATTTATTAATTTAATACTTTAAGGTAAGAATTATATTTTATAATAGGTAGATATAGGCGAAAGAAGATATTAGTTAACTATTTCTTATACTAAACCTAAAAATATATATTTGAAGTCTGTAGTAGTACTTCTACTTTTTATATAAATAAACTATATATATTAGAAACAATAAAATAGATATAAATCTAATATCTAATATTTCTTTATTAATATATAAGTATATTATAGTCTTATTTATATAAAAGAATTATTTTAAATATTTTTTCTGAATTTATATAAAATAACAATATTGGCTGGTTAGGTTGAAATTTTTTAGGGATAAAAAGAAAAATCTTAGGGTATTACTCTTACTTAATTATTTAGGTCAACGGGTTAGCCTATAGGTTGACCTGTTAACCTATTTTTTACTATCTAATAAACTTTGTATATATTAGTAGAGCCTATTTTGATTAGTTATAAAATTCAGCACTAGGATAGTACTAAATTCTACCTATTAATAAGAAATAAGTATTAGACCTATATATTCCCCTAAATCTACGATAATTTACCTTAGATTATTTTTCTATATCTCGAGTCTCTTATTATAAAAGAGTTATATAGTCCCCCTTTTACTAGATATAATAAAATATATACTTTTTTATAGTAGTCTTTCTACCTCTATTAGAACCGGGGTTTTAATCTATCTACGCGATTGCTTAAAACCCTAGTTTTAATCTACCTACGCGTTTATTTATAGCCCCGGTTCTAATATACCTATATAAAAAGGTTAGCTAGTTAGGTTGAAATTTTTTGGGGATAAAAAGAAAAATCTTAGGGTATTACTCTCACCTAATTATTTAGGTTAATAGGTTAGCCTATAGGTTAACCTATTAATCTATTTCTTACTATCTAATAAGCTTTATATATATTAGTGGAGTATCTTCTGATTAGTTATAAAATTTAGTACTAGAATAGTACTAAATCCTATTTACTAATAAGAAATAAGTATTAGACCTATATATTCCCCTAAATCTACGATGATTTATCTTAGATTATTTTTCTATATCTCGAGTCCTTTATTTTAATATATTATTGCTATATCTCTTCTATACCTTAGTTATCTACCTTGTATCCTCTCTCTCTTATTAAGAGTAAGGGGTTTAAGTCATCTATTTTCTATTCTAATCAACTTCTCGATACCTTTTTAGAACCACTAGAAAGCCAGTAAACCGAGCAAAGCCTCTCTTCTATTATACTACTAATACTAAAACGATCCGATAATCGGAAAAAGACCTAGGTGATTTTTAATAATATAAATAAAATAGAGTTTTTAAACTAGTGGCTTAATACCTAAATTAGTGGTTCTTATAATACTATAAAAAAGATAAACTAGAAGGGTCTATAATAGATTAATATATAGTTATAGTTTAATTAAGTTGTATATTTAGTAATAGAAGAGCTAAAGCTCCTATATAAGTAATATAGTAAGGTTATAGACTATCTAGTCTATACTAAAAATAGGATAATAGGTCTTTAATACTACTAGAATCGGAGTATATACTAGAAAGGCTAAAGTATTACTAAATATTTAATAATCTAATATCTTATAGAATATATAGTATATTATATAGCTATTATTTAATTTATAGACTAATCTTTCTTAGACTAAGAACTCCCCTCGAATAGCCTAGCTAGTTATCTAAGAGCTATAGAAGTAATAATTAATTATTATAATAACTACCCTATAGCTTCTTTTTTAAACTATTAAGTATCCCGAATTCTAAGCCTTTTTTAAATAACCTAATTATTATCGTTTATCCCTAGTTTCCTTTCTTATTAAACTATATAACGTTAAATCTAGGGAATAACCTAAGATTAATAGAAAGATTTATTTTAGAAACTTCTATCTAAGGCTAAGCTCTCTATTAGTCTTAATTATTAGATATCGCTATTTTAATAAGTATTTATAGCTATCTTTAGCTATTTTATTAATATAAACTAGAATTATCGAGAGGTTTTACTTAGCTTTAAATCTATTTCTAGTATATACTCTAGATAGAATCTTAGTATAATCCTTTTTAATATCCTCTAGAAGTATTAGATCAAAGACTGAGTATTTATAGTAATAACTAATAATATATCGAATAACTCTATCTTTATTTTAAGTATCTAAGATTCTATTTAATTATTAGATATTAACTCTAAGATAATAATTATTCAGGTTCTATATATTATATATATAATTTAATTAAGTTTAAAGTAACTACTTAGCTAGATAAAAGCGAACCTTTAGAATAAGGTAACTAAGACTATTTAGTCTAAGGAATATACCTAATACGTCTATCGAAAAATATAAAAATAAGATATTACGATAACTCTTATAAAGGTATATATCTATACTCCTTATTTATTAATTAAAATACTAACCTACTTTATATTTTAGATTAGAAACCTTACGATCTTTATTAATATAAACCCTTAATATCGGGAGTCCTTTCTTAGTCTCTAACCCAACTACCCTCGATTAGTTCTAATTTAAGATATCCGAACTAGATAGAATTTAACCTTTTTAATACTCTAGTATATAAAGTAGTTATAATTAGTCTTTAATCGATTTTGCTCTAAATATAATTATCCTTATCTTAAAATTAATATAGATAAATAGCGTTAGATTGATTATCTTCTTAATATTACCTAGCTATTTTTCTAATTTACTATAGTCCTTTTAAAAATAAAGGATATTACTATTTATATTATCTTTACTATCTATAATAAGCTAT